CTACATGGCACACAATACTGGACAAGATCCTATATTACATTCACTACTGGATCATACCCAATATGGCAATCACTACTGGACAATTTCCTATATGACAATCACTGCTGGACGATCTCCTATATGACTATCACTACAAGATAATGTCGTATATGCCAATCACTATTGGAGAATCACCTATATGACAATCACTACTGGAAAAATTAAAGAAACCATTTGATGGCAGATGATTTCCGACATAAGAATGTGACAGCAATAGAACTCACGGAACATTTCATCATTGCCAACAATAATTTCGACAAAACATCTTTAAGTACATATTGTGAATAAAAATACACTGTAATAAGCATGATCTTCTAAATGGCAATCACTATTGGACGATCTCCTATATGAAAATCATTATTGGACGATCTCCTATATGTCAATCACCATTGAACGATCTCCTATACGACAATTACAACTGGATGATCTCCTATATGACAATCACTGCTGGACGATCTTTTATATGACAATCACTACTGAACGATCTCTTATATGACAATAATTGCTGGACGATCTCCTATATGACAATAATTGCTGGACGATCTCCTATATGACAATCACTGCTGGACGATCTCCTATATGGCAATCACTACTGAACGATCTCCTATATGACAATCACTGCTGGGCGATCTCCTATATGACAATCACTACTGAACGATCTCCTATATGACAATCACTGCTGGACGATCTCCTATATGACAATCACTGCAAGACGATCTCCTATATGACAATCACTACTGAACGATCTCCTATACGACAATCACTACTGAACGATCTCCTATATGACAATCACTACTGAACGATCTCCTATATGACAATCACTGCTGGACCATCTCCTATACGACAATCACTACTGAACGATCTCCTATATGACAATCACTGCTGGACGATCTCCTATATGACAATCACTACTGAACGATCTCCTATATGACAATCACTGCTGGACGATCTCCTATATGACAATCACTACTGAACGATCTCCTATATGACAATCACTATTGAACGATCTCCTATATGACAATCACTGCTGGACGATCTCCTATATGACAATCACTACTGTACGATCTCCTATATGACAATCACTGCTGGACGATCTCCTATATGACAATCACTACTGAACGATCTCCTATATGACAATCACTGCTGGACAATCTCCTATATGACAATCACTACTGAACGATCTCCTATATGACAATCACTACTGAACGATCTCCTATAAGACAATCACTACTGGAAAAATTAAAGAATCCATTTAATGGCTGATGATTTCCGACATAAGAATGCGACAGAAATAGAACTCACGGAACATTTCATCATTGCCAACACTAATTTCGACAAAACATCTTTAGGTATATATTCTGAATAAACATACAATTTATTCACCAACCTTTCAACTCTTAAATAGCATGAAAATAATTGCATATGCAAATTTCTCAGTTTCCACAATGGGAGGATGAAACAGAATGACAGGAGTGTTCCACAAGATTTATATCAAACTCTATGATTAATTTCTCTTACTAACTAATAAACAGGCATAATATTTGAAGATGAACACGCACCTATCATTTACCCGCGTTTCAGTTGCATTCCATTTCACACTGGCAGCGTTTCATTGGTTTCGACGCGTTCATAATCAGTACAACAGTTTTTCAAAAGGCCAGCAAGGTTTATACAAAGATTTGAAATTTATTTTCATGTTTATACTTGTATGCTATTTTCAGTCATACCTTGAAGAAGACGTATGTAATGTCGAAATATAGTCAAACTTTGTTAAACATTTTTAAACAGTGTTTCGTTTATTTTCTTAATTCGCGCTTTTCTCGAGCTGTTTTTATAATAATAATAATAATTTGATAATTTTTCTTTATTAGCTCCATATAACTGTTTTGTGCAATCCCTTAAATATAGCATACACGTATGTTAGGTTTATTCTGAATTCAATAATTGAATAGAATCTTGTTTACTCTACTGAAAAATCGAAATAATGGGATACCATAAAGTACTTGAAAACTAGATGCACACATAAGAACTTTGCACAGTTTTCACATAATTTAAATCCTATGTAAACCTCATTCGACGAAAGTAAATGTATTACAATTAAATGACACAGAAGTCTTTATTTAGTAACTTAAGAAAACAAACATACATACACACATGCACGCTTATATATATATCTATATATCTATATCTATCTATATATATATCTATATATATATATATATATATATATATATATATATATATATATTTTTAAGTTATGAAGAACTCGGTAATCCGTATTGGTAATCCCAAGGAGGATGAAATCCTGAGAGCTCAATGTAAATCCAGAGGTAATATTTAAAGAAAACAGACCACTTTAAGGTACCATTACAATAATTTATTTCATAGTCCTTTTTAAAAGACCATCAGATAGCACTTCCAAAATGAAATGAAACGAAAAAATGAGATTTTTCATTTTCCGTTTCATTCATTTTTGGAAGTGCTATCTGATGATCCGGCGTTCTTTTAAAAGGACTATGGTGAAATAAAATTATTGTAATGGTACTAAAGTGGTCATTTTTCTTTTTAAAACTAATTATTCATATATATATATATATATATATATATATATATTCATTTTTATGGATATTAGTTTGTAACACTGGGTTTCATGATTTTGCAATCATGGGATGATCACAAAAGTGTGGAAACCAAACTAATATCCCAATAACTGAATATATTAGCACTATCACAGATATTGAGCACTTTCCACTAAATACCGCGCATATAAATATATATATATATGTGCGTGGGGGTGGCTGGATGTGTGCGTGCGTGTATTAAGGTGCAATTAGGCAATAATTTTTTCTAACATTGTCGAGTCCATAAATATTTATTATAGTGTCAAAAGCAATTATAATACACAACCAGTGGGAATTACTACCCTCTCCTCCTCTACACACACATTACGTGACATTCTCACTATCGGGCAAGCAGTTCACATGGACAGGTCGTTAGTACATGCGTCAACGAAAATTTCATCACGTTTTCCTTTCCAGCTCATAGTAGTAGTATAGAAAAATAGTAGTAGTTGTAGTAGTAAAAAAAAAATACGATGAAGCTTTATAGACTTTGCTTATTCGTTATCTTATTCTTTTATTGATTTCCGACCCATATTTGATCGAAATTCGACTACAAACACAGTACTCAGTTTTAATGTTTCTCGTTTCTCAAACAACACATAACAATCAGAAAATAAATAATACTCATTTTATTGTTTCCATATCTTGATCTACCTATTTTTTCTTGATCAATCTATTTCAGCTTGTTCTATCTATCTAAGCATATTCAATCAATCTATCCATATTCAATCTACGTATCTATCTATCTATCTATCTATCTATCTATCGAAGCATATTCTATCTCTCCATATATCTAAGTATATTCTATCTATCTATCTATCTATCTATCTATCTATCTATCTATCTATCTATCTAATGTATATCATTTTGCAAAGCCATAACGTCATCTTACTTTTCTGGTTTGACCTTGAATCCGCATTAATTGCATTAAGTATATATGCAGATTACAACTGGGTTATCTTTCTATATGAAAAGTTAACTATGTCGCTATTGTTTCGGTGACAATATCTGATACAAATCCCATTTTCTCAAACTGATTTAGATTTGAATTCATATCTGGCACGATTACTAATTAAAACAGACATATTCTTCAAATATTCAAGAGTAGTTCAACACTAGCAATCTGCATAAATGTCAAACAAAATCCGTAAATTTTACATTCATCTTATTAACTCGTTGGCATTTTTATGAGTTATTTAATTCCATTGAGAACCATTTTCGTCTATTAGCTTAAGTGTTCCTTGTCCGGTTAAGTCTTGTTCTTATCATTCTCTACTTTTTTCTTATGTTTTCATTTTTCTACTACTTTTTGCCGCATCTAATTTCCTATGTGTTATCCAGCAGTTCTGAAAAATCTTGGCATTGAAGTTACATTAATTTCCCCTTTTCTTGTTCTCCTATGTTAAATAGTAATGTTTTCCTTAACCTATCTCAGTATATGTGCAAAACGAAAGAATCTCGTTAAATTTTTCGTTCTTTGTTTCTCTTGAAAGTTTTGAAATTTACCAAGAATTCTTCCATCGTGGCATATGGCCATTTACTTTGTAAAAGTAGTTTTTTTTTAAAGAAATTTATGTTACAATGTATATCTGTAACATTTATACATTACAGTAGTAATTAAAATAGAGACAGCCAATTTCTCATACGTAATGTTAGAATTTATTCAAAACCAGACATAAGAGAAGTCTGGTGCAGTAATCCCCAACGTGTGCCTGAGACATTTTAAAATTTGGCCTGGAATTGGTCAAAGAAGATATTTGGGATTTGAAATTTTATTTTTTTCCACTAGCGTAAAATGATGAAAATACAAACAGATTTATTTTACTTTTAAATGCAAAAATTGAGAAATCTTTTAAACAAAATTTTCGATGTTTTCTTTTTATAAATTACATTTTCAAACAGATTTGAAACATCCCTTCCTTACTTGAATTTCCCACAACCTGGTTTCTCGAGGCGAGATATTCTACAGGAAATAAAGGTAGTTTATTGCAGATTTAAAAGAGAGGTTACTTATGCCTGAAGCTGAACCAAGTCTTGGAAGTCCAACTTGACAAACTAACAGATAGAGACCAGCAGCAATGTCGTCATTAGAGAGGATTTATATTTCCTACTAAATCTTTATTTAGTGAATAAAATGTATTTCCTGTTACATGGAATTTCTATTTGTGCTTATGTGGACCTGAAATTTTACTGATACCAAAACTGTACCACAAGAAAGAAAAGGTTGACAAAAACTGATCTAATGGCTTCGTGGTTTTCTCCGAACGTAGATTCTACACTATCTTAGGGATAGTGAGCCTGTCTTCGCCTTAAGATAGGTGTTTATATATTTACTTTCGCACTTTTTCTCAGGCTCGAATATCCTACACGCAGCTGTGTTGAACACTTGATTACATGTCAGGATCAGTCACTTGTATCTTTTGATACATCGATTTGCACTCGGCGGCTAAATGTACATCTCTTAGGAGAACCTGTTCATGAACGCCACTTCTCTGTAGGTCTGAGTTCAAATCAATTTTAGCATCATCTCAGCACATAAATTATTGCCATATATTTTACTGGATTATTCAGTACAAGTGAAATATATGTTGAAAAATGACTTTACTTATTTCATTTGAGTTTTATATATATATTTTGCTGTTGTATTCAATAAGGAAAGTCATTTTCCCCCTTCAAAATCTAATTTGTTCTGTTTCCGTTATAATTTCGCACGTTGTCTCTGGATATTTTCAGTTTCGTCTCATAGTTCATGTCTAGGATGAGGTGTTATCATTACTTGCATTATTTACATTCGGTCAAATGTCCTCAGGTTTGTAGTTAATATCACAATGTTTCCGCTGTTGTGTTCACCCGGCTTTTTCAGATGACTATCAATAAGGGATTTTCTCAGGGGTTCAGTTCAAAACTATCTAGAGATTACCCGGATTGATAGACAAATGAAGAAGTCCAAAACATTGTGTTTCCGAAATGTTGTGACTATACGTTTTAATAATTTTCTAATATTAAATCTATATTTCGAATGTGATGAAATAGGATTGACAATCAGAGGTTGTGTTTCTGCTCCTCATCCGGAGCCTACTATTTTATTATACACATGATCAGTTCTTGTTCGCTAACCCGTCTTTCAGTGAACCTTTGACCAGGGTGTTTGTTCAGTTTTTTGTTGCAGAAAAAAAAAACTGAAATTCTAACATTTAAGTAATTACTCACATATTTCGACAGTCACTTTCATGCCAAACCCAATCATCAGGTGTGACGATTACATTTAGTATGAAACATACTGTTGCGTCTCTCCTTATATATATATATATATATATATATATATATATATATATATATATATGTGTGTGTGTGTGTGTGTGTGTGTTTATATATATATATATATATATATATATATATATATATATATATATATATATATATATAGAGAGAGAGAGAGAGAGAGAGAAGAACTATCTCCCAAAACAAGCAATACCTTATGTTTAAAATGAATTCTTAAAATGGAAAAGTCTTTCTTGAAGATTTTAATATGCTAATAGTTTAAATTTGATATTTCCGTTAAGCAATAAACATTGTTGTATTTAAAATCGAATTTAAATTGATTGGAATTATTTTCTTATTAGCAGCAAAAAAAAATATTTTTTTTATATTGCCAAATCTGTCAAAGCAACCGCAAACTGATTATTATTACTTTTTCAAGTAAATTATACATTTATGAAACTTTAGTTGAGGAAGATTAACTGATTTAAGGTTTTATTAATCTGAATTAAAACAAAATATTTCTTACTTTCAAAGCATCACAGAAAGCATTTCCTTTGATGTGTACGTGGGTGATTTTATGAGATGTTGAAACATCTATCGATAACCTGATGTTTTGCTAAATTTATGTAAGGGGGAAACAATTGTCGAAAAATTACATGGTGAATACAAACCAAACGCAGTAATCTTAATTTAACATATCATAAGCATTTTGATATTTTATTCCATTTTGGCTTTGTAGTCTTTTCCACTTAGACGACGCTTTTGCGAAAAGTTAGAAAATTACAAATTCTTTTTAAATTTACTATAGGTACTACTCTTATTTTCTGATAATGTTGTGAATGAATGCCAGCATTGCCAAAAATCAGCACGTTTGTACAAACACATATAGGTACAAAAGAAAATTCTTTTTAAATTACAGCGATCGCAGAATTGAAGCAGACTTTTCCAGTTATGATTCGTAAATGTAGTTTTTTTTTATTAGACGTATATAAATTGATTGCTTCATATTAATAAACAACATTGAAACATTTAAAATTTTATAAATTATTCTAATTAAATCTTTAAAAAGTGAAAACAATTATTATAAAATTTATTATTCTTCGACATTTTTTTCTTAAGAAAACAATTTCCATAATATATTTTATTCATAAAAGCAAAATGCATTTCTAATTGTTCTTTTATTTTAAAGGTTCAGTTAAGATTTTCTGCAAATGGGAGATCTGTTTAACACACAAAAGCAAGTTGATTTAAATTCTAATTTGCCATATCCCTAGAATTCTCAAAAACCGTGTCCTTATAATACTCCTAAGCCGTGTCCTCATAATTCTCCTAGAACATATCCCTATAATAATCCAAAGGAGTGTAATTATAATTCTCCTAGCCATGTACTTATAATTCTCATAGGCCATATCACTATAATACTCTTAGGCCGTGATCTTATAATTGCCCTATGGCGCGTCCCTATGATTCTCCGAGGACGCGTCCTTACAATTCTCATAGGGTGTGTCCTTATAATTCTCCTAGGCCATATCCCTATAATTATTCTAGGCCGTGACATCATAATTCTACTAGGTTGGGTCCTTATGAATCTCCTAGACCGTGCTCTTATAATTCTCCTAGGCCATATCGCTATAATTCTCCTAGGACGTGTACTCATAATTCTCCTTAGCCATATCAGTATAATTCTCCTAGGCCGTGTCCCTATAATGCTCCGGACCGTGTCCTTATAATTCTCCAACGTCATATCACAATAATTATCATAGACAGTGTACTTATAATTCTCTAAGGGCGTGTACTTATAATTCCCCTATGCAACATCCATAAGTCTACTAGGCTGTGTCCTTATGATTCTCCTAGGCCGTGTCCTTATAATTCTCCTTATCAATATCACTATAATTAACCTAGGCAGTGTGCTTATAATTCTCCAACGCCATATCACTATAATTCTCCTAGGCCGCGTTCCTATAATTCTCCAGGCCGTCTCCTCATAATTCTCCAACGCCATATCTCTATAATTATCCTACGGCGTGTCCTTATAATTCTCCTATGCCATATCCCTATAATTCCTCTACGCCGTGTCCTCATAATTCCACAAGGGCGTGTCCATATAAATATTCTAGGCCGTGTCCTTATAATTCTACTAGGCCATGTCGCTATAATTCTCCTAGGCCGTGTTCTTATAATTCTCCTAGTTCATAAAACTAAAATTCTCCTAGACCTTGTCCTTATAATTATCCTTAGGGATATCACTATAATTCATCTAGGCTGTGTCTCTATAATTATCCTAGGACATATTATTATAATTCTTCTATGCCCTGTCCCTATAATTCTCCTAGACCATTTAGATATAATTGTTCTATGACGTATCTTTATAATTGTATTAGAACGTGTCCATATAATTATCCTAGGATGTTTCCCTATAATTCTCCTAGTGTTTATCCCTATAATTCACCTAGCATGTGTGCCTATAATTATCATAGGACATGTCCCTATAATTCCCCCAAGTAAGTGTCCTTATAATTCACATAAGAATTGTCCGTATAATTCACTCATTTATATCCCTATAATTCTCCGAGTAAGTTTCGTTATATTTCTAATTGACCATATCTTTATAATTCTTCTAGACTCTGACCCTATAATTTTCATAGGCCTTGTCCTTATAATTCTCTATGGACATATCTCTAAAATTGTCAAAGGCCGTGTCCCTAAAATTCTGCAAGGCAATATCCCTATAATTAACCAAATGACATATCCGTAAAATTCTCCTAGGCTGTGTCCCTGTATTCCTCATAGGCCGTGTCCCTATATGTCTCCTGTGCCGTGTCCTTATAATTCTGCTTTGCCACATCATTATAATTTTTTTAGGATGTGTCCTTATCATTCCCCCGGCCGTGATCTTATCATTCTTCTAGGCCCTGTCCTCATAATTCTGCTTAGCCAGATCACTATAATTCTCCAAGTCTGTGTCCTTATTATTCTCTTCGGACATATTCCTGTAATTCTCTTAGGACATGTCCCTATATTTAACCTACGCCGTGTCACTATAATTTTCTTAGGCCGTGTCCTTATAATTCTCCTAAGTCCTATTCTTATAATTACCTTGGCCATATCACTAAAATTCTCCTATGCCTTGTGCTTATAATTCTGCACGGACTTATCCCTATAAATATACGAGGCAGTTCCTTTATATTTCTCCTAAGACATATCACTATAATTCTTCTATATCTTTTCCTTACAATTCTCCATGGACATACCCCTATAATTCTACTAATCCATGTTCGTATGCTTAACCTAGGCTCTTTCTCCATAATTCTCCTAGGTAGTATCCTTATAAATCTCCTAGGACGTGTACTTATAATTCTCCTCGGTCATATCCTATAATTTTCCTAGGCAGTGTCCTTATAATTCTCCTAGGTCTTTTCCCTATAAATCTCCTAGGATTGTCCTTATAATTCTCTTGACCATATCACTATAAATCTCCTAAGACATGTACCCATAATTCTCCTAGGCCGTCTACTTATAATTCTCCTAGGGCGTTTCCTTATAATTTTGTTTCACCATATCATTATAATTCTCCAAGCCGGGTCCTTATGATTCGTCTTGGCCACATCATTATAAGTATCCGTATCCTTATAATTCTCCTCGACCGTGACTTTATAATTCTTCTAGGCCGTGTACTTATAATTCTACTTGGCCCTGTCCCTATAATTCTCTTATGCTGTTTCATTAGAATTCTCCTAAGCCATATCCTTATATTTCACTTTGGCCGTGTCCTTATAATTTTCCTAGGCTATATCATAATAATTCTCAAGAGCGATCTCCTTATAATTTTTCTAGGCCCTGTCCTTATAATTCTCCTAGGCCATATACTAATAATTCTTCTAGGCCCTCTCCTTATAATTCTTACAGGCCATATCCGTATAATTATCCTAGGCCGTGTCATTATAATTATCCAAGGCCCTATCCTTATAATTCTGCTTGACCATATCATTATAATTCTCCAACACATGTCTTTATAATTCTTCTTGGCCACATTATTATACGTCTTCTAGGTCGTGTCTTTATAATTCTTCTCAGCC